TTCAGTCCCATTGGTCTCCAGTGTAAAACTGATTTATACTTCGAGTTGCACATTTTGTTCCCCCTGCTGAGTGATAAAAACTGTGTTATTCTGTTTGCTCCCGCTGCTATCCCCCGGTGACAGCTGTCATGTACGTTGCCCCCGGTCAGAACTCTGTGATGCGGACCTTGCGGTTCGGAGCGTGTGATTGGTTAGAACTTTGTGGGTGTGTTTGTTCATGAGGAGCTGAACCGGAGCAGCTCTTCCTTCGTGCTATTTTGTTTAAAATGATTTTTTTTGGTCTGAAGCCAGTTGTTAAAAGAGCTAGAAGAGCAGCTGGTTGAACGTGAGCTGATCGTTAATATTAAAAGAAAAAACTTAGATTCTCACAAGTTTTTCCTCCATGGACTCTTCACCTAACACAACACTAATCATTGAAAAAAAAAAACCACAATATCCAGCCATCATTATTGTTATATGAGCTGTGGGAGGCATTATGATAATTTATGGCCCAAGCTTTAATTCTTCTGCACAGAATACCATTCCCAAAAATCTTAGCACATTACTCTTGATGGAGAAGCATGTTTCAGTGTATAATTTACATATTTTAATTCACACCTGGGCAACATAATACAGTGTTTCTGCATTGGCGTCCTTAATTAAAACGCAGCAGATGCTAGCACTGTTCATCAAACCTTTTCTCCGAGAAAGGCATCTAAAAAGCTCACAAGTCTGAGTTGAGTTTCTCACGGGATAAATCATCTGTAACTCTTTAAGTTTGTTAAACAGCCAGTCTGCCAACGTCCTGACATTTTGTTTTGTAAGCAGTCCAGGTTTCTGTCTTCTCTTCTCAGTAAGGTTGAGTTCAAACAAATCGTTAAAAAGCCACGATTAGCTGGTGTGAGACGGGTTTTCTCATTAAAGTTGAATCTCTGTCGGACTGAATGTCGCCCGTGYCAGCGTGGCACTTTTGTGTTTCTGYGGCATAAAGTGAGGAAAATGCCGATGTCTTGGACAGTGCCGTCTCCCTGCAGGTTTTAATCTGCCTCTTGTGTTCTCACCCTAACAGCAGCGTTTCTCTCCATTYAGACTCATCCATCTTTCTCCCCACCACACTGCCTAACTTTCAGTTCCCTTTCAGACGAGGCTTTCACCCTGCTAATGTCAGGCTTTTCTCTTTAAAGCAGCTGTGGCACTATTCCATCCTAGATACCTGGGAAACAGAAACATCTTAGATTTGGGTTAGAAATGTTAACATTAGAAAAGTATTCTGATGTTTTGTAACTCCAGACTCTGGAGCCTTTGGCAGCAGCGAGGCATGGCAGTGGCAGTTTAATGATGCAGTGAATGACAAAAGAATGAGTAATGCAAATAAATTTAAATGAGTAAATTAATAAAAAAAACTGAAACAACCTTCTAAAGTTTATTTTTACCTTTTACAACTAATGCAGCGACTTACAGGGACATTTCTTTGTAATTCCTTTTGTCTTATTAAGACCAAAAACAGAAAACACGGTGAGGTTTGTGAACCAATCAATGCAAACATTTGATAGTGATGTGCAGATCGATACTGAAATATCGATACTAGCGATACCAGAACTTTATATTCTAGAATTGATACTAACATTAAAATATTGATACTTTGAAACTAGCTACTTCACATAATGTACAGTTGTGGTCAAAAGTTTACATACACTTGTAAAGAAACATAATGTTATGGCTGTCTTGAGTTTTCAATAAGT